CATCTTCTTCAACATTTATCATTTTCCTGTTTTGTCATATTATCCTATCAGATAGGTATGATTAATACTATTACCTTTTTTGGGCTCTTAAGAGTTTACAAGTACATGATCTATTCCAAAATCTTTAGGTGACTTTGCTTCTAAACAATTTACCTAAACAATTACATTCTGTCTTATAATTTGTAGAAGAAAATGCAATGGTAACATAAAACATTCTCCCAAATTAAATTTTATTTACTTTTAAGCTGCTCTAAGAACTAAACAAACTTCTATCTTTTCATGGTCAAGGAAAGAATTAATAATAGCCAGTTCTTCAGCACCAGATAAATTGAAATTGTAGACTGCAAACCTTTTTTTTTTTTTTCACATTGGAACTTCACTGATAGTGCTTTAAAACTAACTTCAGTTCTTTTTTTTTTTAATGAAATAACCTTCCTCCCTTGCACTAAAACAATAAATCTATCACTTTCCAAGAAAAAAAAATGATGAAAGTTCTAAATGCTGTTTTCATGTAATTTTCACAAAAAAATTTATTCTTATTTTTCCTTAAAATAAATTCTATGAAGTGGTAGCCCCAAACTCATTTAGATATTTTAGAATTTATAAAAAATATTCAAACCACACTTTGGGAATTCACAGTAGAGAACTTAGATTTCAGTCACAAATTTAGTCCCTAATTAGTTTAGGATGCCATAAATTTCTGCAGACTGAGGGAAAAGATTCCTTTCCCTCTTATCAATATTTCTCATCTGCCTCCCCAACATGGCCTGCAGAGAAGAGAGACTTCCTTTTCAAAGACTTTGAAAGTTCTGCATAAAAGTTTTCACTCTTTACACCCCTTTTCCCTCGGTTGATTAGACCACAGGAAAGTCAGTTACCAAGACACCAAACACAGACAATGCTAACAACATACTGTACATTTCACAAATGCACACACTCAAACCAAAACAAAAACAAGACAGATACATAGAGTCACTTACTGGTGAAGTCTTTTCCAATTAATCTAGAGAAATTGGTTTCTAAATCAGAGTCAAACCAAACAAAATCAGACAAGACCTGATTGATAAGATGGGGAGGATTGCCATTTGCAGATCAGAGTGTCATGGTCAACCCTTGCCTCCTGAGTACAAAAACTCACCAGGTTCTCAACACCAAAGACTATGCTGATTAGAGAAGCCCATATAGTACTGCCAGGTGATGACCCCTAGAATTCCACAGGTCTTTCTGTCTGGGAATCCTAGCACTCCCACCATTTACTGTGGGTAAAATTGTTGGTACCGGAACAAACTAGAACCAGAACCAAAACTAAATGAGGGCTTACTGAGTTTGTCAGCAAGGGAACCCCACCTGCACAGATGGAGACTCCCCAAAGAAGCAAAAAGACAAAGCTTATATAGGTTTTGATTTAGGCAGGAGATGAATTGGATATGGGATACTTAGGATTGAATAAGGCTTGTTGCTGAGGGCTAACAGGGAAGGAATAGAGGATGTGGTTTATGAAAAAAGCCCTTTTTCAGGTTAGCTATCTCCTGCGACCCCACCCTAATAGGTAGACCTGTCCTTGCTATTTCATCAATGAGGAAGGTTACAGACAGGGTAAGGATTGCAATACAAACAGGGTCAGGAGAAAGATAGAGGAATCACAGACAAAGTGAAATTACGTTAGCTTTTTTGGGTACCCATAGCATCTACAGGAACTATATGAACATAATTACCATACACTGTTTATACAAATAAAGACAGACTTAAACAATTGGAGAAATATTAATTGCTTATGTGAAGGCCAAGTCAACATAATAAAAATGACAATACTACCTAAATTGATTTTCTTATTTAGTTCCATAACAATCAAACCACCAAAGTATTACTTTATAGAGCTAGAAAAATAACAACAAAATTCATCAGGAAGAAAAAAGGTCAAGAATTTCAAAAGAATTAACGAAAAAAAATGGGAAGGAAGGCAACCTAGCAAAACTAAATCTTAAAATACACTAAAAAACCATCCTCATCAAAACAATTTGGCACTAGGTAAGAAATAGAAAGGTGGATCAGTGGAATCGATTAGGTAGGCGATAAACAGAAGCAAATGAACACAATAATTTATTGTCTGATAAACCCAAAGATACCAGCTATTGGAGCAAAAACTCACTATTTGACAAAAACTGTTGGGAAAATCATAAAGTAGTAGTCTGGCAAAAACTAGGTATAGACCAACATCTTTCACCGTATACCAAGGCAGGCTCCAAATGGGTACTTGACTTAGATAGAAAGGCTAACAACATAAACAAATTAAAGGAGCAAGGAAGAAATTAGCCATCAGATCTATGGATGGGGGAAACATTCCTGATCAAACAAGATATAGAGAGATTCATAAGAAGTAAAATGAATAGTTTTGATAATATAAAATTAGAAGGGTTTTGTACAAACAAAACCAATGTAGCTAAAATGAGAAAAGAAGTAGAAAATTAAGGAAAAACAACTTTGCAGCAAAGTTTCTCTCATTTCAAAGATATATAGGGTGCTGATTCAAATTTGTAAGAATAAAAGCCATTCTTTAATTGATAAAAGGTCAAGGGATATGAATAGGCAATTTTCAGAGAAAGAAATCCAAACTATCAAAAGTCATAAGACTAAAATGCTCTAAATCACTAATGTAAATGTAAATTAACATACCTCTGAGGTACTATTTCACACCTATCAGATTGTGACCTGGGATGTTATCAGATTATAACTCCAAATCTTTATTTTGCATAGGTTCCCAAAGTTCTGGGGTTCTATGGTTCCATCAACCCAACAATCTCTGATTCTAATACTTTGTTTCCTTTGTCTTAGGGTTCTGGGATTCAATTGTTCTAGAGTTCCATCTGACTAAGTTTCTATGGTTCTAAAGTTCTAGGATATTGCGATTCTACATTTTCTCATTCTAAGAATCTCTTGGAGACTCAGGGGGACTCATGTTTAGAGTTACCTAAACTCTTTCCTGTTCACAGGTCTGAGGGCGCCAACAGTGTCACACCATTATTGTGGTGGCCATTGTCTTACTTTGGATCAAAAAGGATTTTACTTGGGATGACATTTCTGAACAGCTACTGTGGGTGGGGAGGGAATGTGGCCAAGGAAGAGAATGGGTGAAGATGAGAAGAGTTTGGTTCTGTCCCTTATCCCACAGTCCACAGCCTACAGCCCACGCTCCCCATGGCTTCAGAAGGTAAAAGAAGGTCACAAATGCTGGCCCCAGGGGTGTCCTCTTCACTGATGCAGCATCTGTAGAACCATAGCATTCAGAGCAGGAAGGGACTTTGGGGAATGTCTATTTCAGGTCCAGATTCCTAAACTGAGGCTCAGAGACTTGTCCCAGGTCACACAGGCGAGAGGTGGCATAGCCTTCCCAAATGTGGGAGGGACCTGGAGAAGATCTTTCCCAGTAAAATAATAATAATAATAATAGCCATTTGTATAACATTTTAAGATTTGCAAAGCACTAAACATTATCTCCTTTTATCTTCATAAGGACCCTGGAAGATAGGTGGTATTGTTAACCTTATTTTACAGGTGAAGAAACTGAGGCAAACCAAAGTTAAGTGACTTGCCCAGGAGTTACACAGTTTTTAAGTGTCGGAGGCTGAATTTGAACTCAGGTTTTCTTGACTCCAGGTCCCAGGCTCTGCTATTCATTAATGTATGACCTTGGGCTCTTCATGCAATCTCAAAAAATCAGAGTTGGAAGAGGCCATCTACTCTACCCAATTCATGCCCAAAGCATGAATCCTGTTCATAGTATTTCCAATAAATGGCCGACCACACTCTGCTTGCAGACCTTCTGTGATGGTGAGTTTGTTATCTGCCAAAGCCCTTCCCACTTTGAGACAATTCGAATTGTTGGGATGTTTTTCCTTACACCAAGCCAGAATCTACCTGTAGTTTCCTCCAACTGAACCTGATTCCGGCCTTGAGGGCTAAGTAGAATACAGCTGAGCCCCTTTCCTTATGACGACCTTAGAAGACAGCAACTTTGTCCTATCCCCAGCCACGTATCATCTTCCCCAACCAAAATATCCATTCTCCCCTCATCCTGATCAAGACCTCCTCTGGACACACACCGACTTGAGATCACAGACCTGGGGCTGCCAGATCCTCTGGTCTACTGGAGAGATGATAGAACAGAAGTCTGGAGAAGTTAAGTCACTTGCCCCAGATAACACGGGTCATAAGTGAAAGACTCAGGATCTGAAGCCAGGTCCCTCTGACTCTGGAGCTGGTATTTATTCTACTGGCTCTGCAGTGCTTCCTAAGAACCTTCCCTATAAGCATCCTTTCTAAAATGTGGTGCCTAGAACTGGAAACAATCCCCTTCTCCTTTCTGGACCATCTTGGTAAAATTAGAGCAGTGCTGTCAAACTCAAATAGGCCACATGGTAACTTAGAAAGCCACAAATTCACATTGTCTGAACTGTGCTGTATTTTTATTCATTTTGTTAAATATTTCCCAATTACATTTTAATCTGGTTCAATGGCACTTGGGATGTTACTGGCCACATTGTCTGTTGGCCCTGAGTTGAACACCTCTGGACTAAAATATCTGGGGACCCTCTAACCCCTGAAATTCGAATCTATTACTAATTAAGTGAGCGCCTTTGTGAATGATTGCCTTTCTCAGGAAATGGTCATTCACAGAGCACCTGTCACTACTTCAGAGTGACCTTAAGATTACCTTGGGTATGGGGCAGCTAGGTGATACAGTGGATAGAGCACCAGCCCTGAAGTCAGGAGGACCTGAGTTCAAATCCAGCCTCAGACCAAACACTTGACACTTACTAGCTGTGTGACCTTGGGCAAGTCACTTAACCCCATTGTCTAGCCCCCCCCACCAAAAAAGTTACCTTGGGTAAAGCTTGGTGTCCTGGAGCATCTTGAGAGGGAAAAAATAATCCACTCCTCAAAAAATCCCCTGCTGGGAGAAGACGGAAGGTGGATGAAGCAGCTGGGGGGCCAAGTCTCACCTGTATGAAGTCAGCATTGGTTCTGTCCTCCTCCTGCATGGTCTGCACCGAGGGCAAGGAGAACACGCTCCTCACGCAGATGGCCACCAGCTCATTTCTCTCCTTGGCTCCCAGGCATGGCTGGATGGGACTAGGGAGGAACCAGACAGAGGGAGGGGCCACTGGGGCAGCCTCCTCATTGATCTCCTGGAACGGTCTTCCTCTGTCCAGCCTCCACTTAGCTGCCAATGTCACTATCCTAAAACATGGATGGATTATGCCTCCTCCCTTAAACTCCCCTAGCTCCCTATTACCTCCAAGCTCAAACACCCCGTTTAAAGCCCTTTACAACCTGGTGGCTTCCTGGGCCTGTTAGCACCCCGCCGCTCCCCACTGGCACACTCAGTCAAACTGACCCTTGCTCTTCCTCACACCCAACACTCTCCCTTCTCTCTGCCTCTGTGTATAGCTCTGTGTTCCCCGTTTTTGCCTTTGCATTCCCAGTCCTCACATAGCACTTGGCACATAGTAGGTGTTTAACATGCATTTGCTGGTTTATATGAACTACAGGTCCATTCTCCAAATGAGCCAAATTGTTTTGTTACCCCCCTACTATGGTGCCTCTCTGCCCTGTCCAGAGTGGGTCCTTAATAATGATTTGCTGAATTGAATTATTGAAGGGAGAATAGAGATTTGTGGCAGGCTTGGAATGGGTCAGTTTGGGGACAGGACTCCTGGTTCCCCTCTCTCTTCCGTTGCACAAAAGAATGTCTCAACCAAGTTAGAAGGCACATGTCTCCAGAAGGTTCTTAGGAATGCTGCTAACGGCAGGAGGGTAGGTGGGAGGGGGACACATATTTTGAGTGGGCATGGAGGCAGTGTAGACTTCTGATTTTCAGTGTAGGGCTGATCCTTCCTTCTTCACACTGGTAGGACTGCTAGGGGACCAAGGCTTAAAGAAGACACTAGATGAGAGATACATCAGGCAAGGGTGGGAACGGTTCTGCTCTTAGCAGGAAAAGAATTGGGTCAGAAAAGGAGGGGGGCACAGGCTAGGAGGTCCAGCTGGGACACAGTGGTGGGTTAGGTGCAGGTGGGGCAGGGAGAAGCCTGGGAGGGGAGAGCCGCATACCTCAGTTGGGTCAGGGTCACCAAAGCCTGCTGCCGGCTGGGACTGGAGAGTGTATCCATGGGCTCCTCCTGGATCTGCTTCTGAAGGAGGGAAAAATGGAGCAAATGAGCCCTCCTTCCCCCCCAGACCCCACCCCCCCTTGTCACCTGTACAGGGCCCACATGGAACTGCAGAGAATCTGAGCTAGTGAAGACTCCAGAAGGCAGTCAGTCCACTCTATATCTGAAGCAGGAATCCCCTCTACAATATTCAATCTTTGCTTGAATACCTTCAGAGATGGGGAAATCACTACCTTAGGAGACAGCCTGTTCCAATGCTGGACAGCAGAAATGCCTCTGAAGGCTCCCACAAGGCCTGATCTCTGAGTGACGGGCAGAGGGGACAGGATGAAGCCAACACGTTTAATTCTAGATTGGGAATCTCAAGGAGAGGGGTGTCATGGAGGAAAGAACACCAGACTGGGGAGTCTTAGATTCAAGATGGAAGGGCCCTTGGAGGTGATTGAGCCCAAAGAGGAGGACAATGATGGCAGTTCTCTTGGAGATTACAAGCAGACTTACCATGTCTCTGTTCAAGAACCATTTATGGCTCCCTATTACTTGCCGTAGGATAGGATAGCCCTCCACCACTCAGGTTGTCACCTTCTCTGAAATTTATGGCAATTTATGGCCAGAGTTTTGTCGCTACTGGTTCCTGAAGGCAGCAAGTTTGACCCCTTTGGTAGAACACTAAAAAGTTAAGTGACTTGCCCTGGGTCACACAGCCAATATGGGGCAGAGTAGGATTTGAATCCAGGTCTTTCTGGTTTCAAAGCTGGCTCTCTATCTGCTAGGCCACACTGCCTCCCATTGTCTACCGTGTGAAGTTTAATTCAGACAGTCATTCCAGGCTCCCTGTAATCTGAGATCATCTGATCTATCACCTGGGAAGGGGAGCCCTCTACCACCAAACAATGAGCTTCTCATTCTGACCCCCTCACTTTTCAGAGGCCCAGTCACACCATCTGATTCTTGGAACCTTGCAAGGCTGGCGTGGAATCTTAGAGAAATGCCAGCCTGGGCACTGCATCTCTGACTCTCCCTAGCTGTGCCATCTGGGCCAAGACTTTTCCACTCTAAACCTCAGTTTCCCGAACTTATAGAGGAGGACAATGGGGCATCCCCCACCTCGAGGGGTGATGGTGAAGAAGTCACTTTGTAAATCCCAAAGCTCTACAGAGATGTCAGTTGTCACTGGTACAGTACAGATAAGGAAAATGAGAAAAGGCAAGTGACTTGGCCAAGGTCATGCGACAGGCAAACTGAATCCCCTGTAGCACACTGGGAAAGTCCCCTGGACTGCAGGCTATTTGATGCGTCATACCTACTACCTCCTGAGGGAAAAGGGATTTTCATTTCATTTCTAATATTCTACAGTTGCAGACTTGGACAGGATATCCTCCACTCCCTAATCTTTATTGTTAGCATTCTAGGTTCCAAGGTTCATCTTCTAAGCATTTTTCTAGGTCTGGCATTCTAAGTTTTAAGCTCCCTCCCATCTGTGACATCCCCTGTTCTCAAGCCCCTCCTAGCCATGATATTCCCTTCTCAGGCCCCTCCCAGCCGTGACATTCCCTGTTCTCAGGCCCCTCCCAGCTCTGACATTCCCTGTTCTCAGGCCCCTCCCAGCCCTGACATCCCCTGTTCTAAGGCCCCTCCCAGCCTTGACATCTCCTGTTCTCAAGCCCCTCCCAGCCTTGACATCCCCTGTTCTCAGGCCCCTCCCAGCCCTGACATCCCCTGTTCTCAAGCCCCTCCCAGCCTTGACATCCCCTGTTCTCAGGCCCCTCCCAACCCTGACATCCCCTGTGTTGAGGCCCTGTTCTCAGGCCCCTCCCAGCTCTGACATCACCTTTTCTCAGGCCCCTCCCAGCCCTGACAGCCCCTGTGCTGAGGCCCTGTTCTCAGGCCCCTCCCAGAAAGTCCCCAGGGGCTCAGACTGGTGAGTCAGGTTGTCAGTGGGGTCCCCACCTCCCCAGCCCCACAGACCAGCACAAGGCCCCCGCACCATGGTCTTCTTTATCAGCTGTCTCTTGTCTTCATCCAGGTCCAACTGCTCTTTGGGTCCCTCGGGGGCAGTCTTATTCTCTTCCTCCCAGAGGGCAAAAGAGAAAAGGCCACAGGGTGAGCCCCAGTTCTCCATGGGCTCAGAGATCTGGCGTATATACGACAAAACGGAAATCTCTTCTCTCCAGCTGCTGACCAAGGTTTGGACTTTGAGGGCAGCTGGGCCTTCCTCTGACCCAGGGAAGGCACCATCAGGTTAAAGTCATAAGGTCACAGACTGGGGGTTTGAAAGGACCAGAGGAGTCATTTAGTCTGACCCCTTCATTTTACAGATGAGGAAACTGAGGCTCAGTTACCCCCTCAATAGAGGCCTTGCTCAAGGTCACCCAAGGAAAAAGAAGAATTGGGATTCAGCTCAGGCCCCAGCCTTCTGGAGGAGGGCCCAGTCTCCAAGGAAGAACATTTGGAGAGGGAACAGGGTCCATGCCTTGGGTAGATCAATTACTAGTCAGTGAGGCAGGGAGGCTGTATTTCCCAGGGCCAATATCCAGACTGGGACCCCATCTCAAGGGGCCGACATCATCAGTGTTCAGAAATGGCGGGTGGGAGGGGGAGGGGAGCAGGGGAAGCGCTGAAAAGGACTCAGGTGGACCTTGAGTAGGCCCCAAGTCTGAAAAAGGATGAAAAGGGCCAGTTCCACCTGATTTCCTTTCTGGTTGGATTTCTAAAGGTCCCTGGCTTTGTTGAGAGACTGCTCAGCCACTGGGGGAGAGAGAGGAGAGACAAGAGCTGGAGAGAAAGAGAAAAGAAAGGGATGGAAGGACTGACCCTCTGCGCAGAATGAGAAGGGAAGCCCCTCTCCTCCCATTCAAAATATGTCCCCTACTCCATCCATCCAACCCCCCACTTTAAGCGCTACTGAGAACCCTCTGGACACATGTGCATTCAAACTGGATTAAGGCACTTTGTCGCCTGGGAGTCGTTTTACATTGGTTGAAACAGTAACAGAGAAAAATTTGCCTGATTTATCCATTAGCTCTCACTATCACCCCAATAAAGCCTGACCCCGGGAGAGTGGGACACAGAATGACTCCCTCAGAGCCCGTCCAAATTCTACCTGTCCTTCATGATCCAGGAAACTTTTCCTGACCATCCCACCCCACAGCGATCCTCCCCCTATATGTCACTTGGCCTTTAGCATAGACTTGGCTTGCACGTGTCTCTATGGAAGGCAGTGATACAGAGAAAACATTTGGACTGGAAGTCTGGAGATCTCAGATGAGCCTCTCATTCACTGTGCAGCTTTAATTTGGGGCTGAAAGTAAAGGATCTCCAAGGTCCCTTTGAGCGCTAACGTTCTGGGGCTACTAGGGGATGGCTTGGCTCCCCATCTGGACAGTAAGTGTCTTGAGGCCTAGGGCTGAGGGGCTTCCCCAGTCTGGGCCTTAAAACTGGGAGGATAGGAGAAGATAGAGGTCCTTCTAGAACTCCCCTAGCCCTAACTTTCTATGTTCCAAGGCTCCTCCAAGTTCAGCCCTTCCATGTATAACATTCTGTGTTCTGTGTTCTAAGGTCCCTTCCAACTCTGACATCCTGTGTTCTAACATTCTGTGTTCTGAGCCTTTCCTAACTCTAATGTTCTATGTTCTAAGGTCCCTTCTAGCTCTAACATTCTGTGTTCTAGCATTCTGTGTTCTGTATTCTAAGGTCTTTTCCTAGCTCTTATGTTCTGTGTTCTATGGTGCCTTTCAGCTCTGACATTTTGTGTTCTAACATTCTACGTTCAGTATTCCAAGGTCTTTCCCAACTCTAATGTTCTATGTTTTAAGGTCCCTTCCAGCTCTGACATTCTGTGTTCTAACATTCTATGTTCAGCATTCTAAGGTCCTTTCCAGCTCTGATGTTCTATGTTCTGGGTCTCTTCTAGTTCTAACATTCTATATTTCAGGCTTCCTCCTCATTCTATCATTCAAAGACTCTGATTATGTCATATATCTCACACAACCCCTGCTGAAGGGTCCTAAACACATTGGGAGCATAGCAAAGGCAAGAGTAAAAAAAGGAATGAGGGTATGGATCACTTCTGGGAAAGGCAGGTCCAGTGGGGGTTGCTCCAAACCCCAAACCCCAAACCCCAGGGTCTTCTGTGAGGCTCAGCCCTATGAGAAGACCCCTGCAAGGATCCCCTCTACGAGGATATGTGGGCAGGGCCCTGTCTGGGTCATTGAGCAGGGAGGAGTCAGGTGCCCAAAGTCTCCCAGAAGAGGACAGACAGATGGAGCAGAGAGCCAGGGCCCTTCACTTTAGAGGAAGAGGCTCTGACTGGTCAGACCCAGAGATGAGCCCTTTAGATCAATAGCAACCTGGAGGCAGGTCTCTAGTGGAGTCTCTAGTGGAGATCCCCAGGGATCTGTCCTTAGCCCTGTGCTGTTCAACATTTTATCAGTGACTTGGATGGAGGCAGAGATGGCATGCTTATCATGTTTGCGCTACGTATCTGCTATTCTCTCTTGACTCTTTCTCCTCGGGGAGGCTTGAAGTGACCTCAGCTTAGATCTCTGGATGTCACCAGTTCAAAGCATGGGAGAGAAGAAGGAGGGTTAAGTTCTTCCCATCACTCCCTAAGAGGGAAAGAAATGTGGGGTGGGAGCTTTGGAGGGCACAGGCAGGTCACACAATCTCCTGCCTCTGCCAGAGACGCCCCAGGATCCAGACGAGGAGGCAGAGTGCTGGACGTTCCTGAGGGCCTCTGAATAAGTCTAGGTTTGGGAAATCCTACGGAGTGGACTTGTCAATAGAGCTTCATTCTGAATCTCTGGGTGAGTGTTAGGAGGTCAGAGGATCATAGAATCTCAGAATGTCAGGGCTGGGAGGGGCCTTAGAACAGGGGATGTCAGGCCTGGGAGGAACCTTAGAATAGGGAATGTCAGGGCTGGGAGGGACCTTAGAACAGGGAATGTCAGGGCTGGGAGGGACCTTAGAACAAAAAATATAGAATGCTAGACTAGCTGGGAGGGATCTTTAACACACAATGTCAAGGGTGGGAGGCACCTTAGAACAAAGACTGTCAGCTGAAAGGGCCCTTTGAATATTGAATGTTGGAATATAAAATACAGACTATTAGAGCTGAAAGTCTAGCTTCCTCACTTTACAGGTGAAAAAAGAGGTCCGGAGGAATGACTTGCTCAAAGTCATACAATGAATTATCATACAATTACCTTCTCCACATGTGAACATCTCATCCCCTTGACCATATTAGAAGCTCTTCCAGGACAAGGACCATGATTTCTTTTAGGTCCTTCCATCATAGAGTGATCCTAAATCTTTCTTCCAGAAAAATATTAAGTTTTCTGTTTATAAACACACATATATTTTGGTGCAAGGCTGGGTTTATTACCAGCAGTTCCACTCCAGAAAACAACCTTAACAAGGGAAAAATTAAGGGAAATGGTAACTATTGAAATTTCCAACTCAGTTGGGCTAGAGATTATTGCTGGGAGTGGAGAGAATGCTCTCTTCTTAGAGATAGAGTGGAAAATGACTCAGATTGGAAGAAGGAAAATGCTTGTGGTTTTGTGGAGCTGGCATGGAAACATGATTCTGTGGTTTGTCTTGTTTCTTTCTTTTTTTTTTTTCCAGAGGGGAATCTAGGAGCTGTAGTGTAGAGAGAGGAGCCCTGGACTTAGGAGTTCTTAAAGAGAATTAGGGTGTTAGTTCTAGTTGTACCACTGTGTCAATGGGCAAGTCAGTGCTACCCTTCTCATCAGAGAAGCTTCCTCATTAACTTGCACTATCTGCTTCTCAGGGCTGATAGGAACCAAGTACTTTTGTAAATCTTAAGTTTCTGTAGACATGAAGACTAATCTTTCTTTTTATCCCTGGTGGATCTCCCTCCGGTAAAGCTAAGCAAGAGAGCTAAGACGAGCAGACATATTCTTTAGCTGTGAAAGGAATATAAAGAAATGCTCCCAGGTACAAAAGGGTTAGTTGCTTAGTAAAAATCCAAGTATATAAAGTCAAGGTACCAGTTATAATAATGTGAACCTGGTGTGGAATATTCTTATGCCTTGCTGCCAGGTAAGACCTGGTGTCCTGATGTGGGAAGCCCTGTGCATACAGACTCAAGGTCTGAACCCTAGAGCTTGTCTGTATGACCATGGGCAAATCACAGTCCTTCACTGGACCTTTAAAAACAAAGTATGAGAACACCAAAAGAAAGCAGACAACTGTGAATTGAAGACTAGTTTTCATGTGACTGCTATCCACGAATCCCTACACCTCATCAGAAATCATTCATTATTCCTCTGGGCTGTAAGAAAGGTTCAGGATGTGCTCTGGATGTTGATGAGTGGAGGTTTAGTGGAAAAAAAATCTGGCCTGTAGATGTGCACGTGGAACCGTCAGTCAATGCAAGGACGCTTGTGAAAAGAGTATATGTACAGTGTGAAACTTGGTAGCTTGGTAACTCCTCAAGTTTGACAGCTAGGTGGCACAGTGGATAGAGAGCTGGGCCTGGAATCAGGAAGACCTCAGACTTACTAGCTGTATGACCCTGAGCAAGTCACTTAACCCAGTTTGCCTCAGTTTCCTCCTTTGTAAAATGAACTGGAAAAGGAAATGACAAACTGCTCTAGTATCTTTGCCAAGAAAACCCCAAAAGGGGTCATGAAGAGTTGGACACAATTGAAAAAATAACAAAAACAAGTTTGGGGCATGAGTCTGGTTTTACAGAAACATGGCAGAAGTAGCCACCCCAGAGGCTGGCTTGTTCTGCTGATCCTTTAAAACACTCTTGGGATCACATGCAGCTTTGGCTTCCGGCGTCCTTCCATGGAGGGATAGGAGCGTTTGGGGGAGCAGCCTAATGTCTGGATTGGGGACTATGATGACAAACTGTGGCATTTGCAGAGATCTGATTGTCACTGTTTCTGAGCCCCCAGTGGTCTCACTCAGCATGAGGAAAAAACATGTTCAGGAATAAACCAATAGGCCCAGAGTTGGGAGTAAGTATAGTTTGTGGCAAGGGAGAGCTACTAATGAGCGTAAATTTTGTTGGGGGAAGGAGGGTTGATGTGTGTCAATTACCACTCTTCCAATGCAGTTATCGACGGTTATTCTATATCTCCCAAACTCTCCCATCCACCAGCCCATCTCTCTCCATTTGTCCACAAGGACTGGATGACTGTCCTACGCTTTGCCCAAGTCCAAATAAATCTCCTCTGCCAATGGGATCTGCACCCCCTCATCTGCTAGCCCAGTAATGGTCAGCAAAGAAAATGAGGGCAGTCTAGCGAAACTTGTTTTCAGTGACCCTGCGCTGGCTTTCTGGGAACACTTCTCCTTGTCTAAATGCTCACATGAAGCCCCTTTCCATGAGCTATTCTGGAATTCTGCCAATAAGATAATCCAAGTTCCCCAGTCCACAGTGGGTAGCTGCCTCCTTCCCCCTTTTTGATAATCTTGAGCCTGTTAGCCCCTCTCCAGGCCCTGTCTGTGCCCCTCGGCTCCTCAGGAATCACCTGCAGCCATTTACAAGGCTGGACAGTGTGGAAGAGTCAGAAAGATCTGGGATCGAATCCCAGCTCTGCCACTTGGTGACTGTGTGACCCCGGGCAAGTCAATTCACCTAAGTCTCAGTTTCCTCTTTTGTAAAATGGAGATAATAATAACACAGATCAAACAGGGTTTTTGTGAGAGTCAGTGCATGCAGAGTGCTTTGCAAACCTCAAAATGCTTTGTAAGTGCTTTCTATTATTAATCTGGGTTGGTGGGACTCTCTCTCTCCCTCTCTGTCTCTCTCTGCCTCCCCCTCCTTCTCCTTCCCCACCTCTCTCCTTATCTCCCTTCCTCCCTCCCTTCTTCCCTTTCTCCCTCCTTCCCTCTCTGTCTCTGTCTCTGTCTCTCCCTTCCCCCTCTATATCCCTCTCTTCTTCCCTCCTCCCCCTCCCCCTCCCTCTCCCTCCCCCCTTTCTCCCTCCCTTCCTCCCTCCCTTCTTCCCTTTCTCCCTCCCTCCATCTCTGTCTCTGTCTCTGTCTCTGTCTCTGTCTCTGTCCCTCCCTCCCCCTCTCCCTTTCCCTCCTTCCTCCCACCCCCCAGTATAATGAGCGTTTCCCTAATGTTTAAAGGGTTGCCATATCCATGAGTTTGTGTCTCAGTACCCTACTCTTTGTCAATCAGGGCAGCAGGTGTGGGTGGGTGAGTGGGGTAGATTGGTGTGGACCTAGGGTTTTTGGTTCCATTTCATGGATGAGGAAATTGAGGTCTAAAGAGGGAGACGTAGCCTGCCTGTGGCCTCAAAGAGATTTGACAGTAGAATCAGGATTTGAACCTGGGTCCCCTGGCTCTCAGACCAGGCCTCTTCCCCATGAGCTCAGGGGAAAGAATGTTGGATTCAGAGTCAGAGGGCCTGGGTTCAAGACCCAGCTTTGCCACTAACTTACTCCATGATTCGGGTCAATTCCTCTCATTTCTCTGGTCCTCAACTGACCCATAAATAAAATCCAAGGGTAGGGCTGGGTGACCCCTAAGGTACAGAGATCACAGTGCAAAGCTCTGGGCTTCCTTACCGTCAGATGTGTTCTGGTGGGTGTAGGTGTCGTCAGGGCTGAACTTCTGTAGGGTGTGGAGTGTTATGGAGGTGCCATTTTCCATTTTCTTCTTGAGCTCTGTTGCCCTGTTGTTATACCTCATGGGCATTCTGAAGTCCTCCGAATCACCCTGGCTGATTGTTAGGGTCACGCAGGAAGTGTCCATTAGGATGCCTCCTGCATCGGCCTTCTTGCCCTGGCTGTCATCGACCACCAGGGACATGCAGGTGATGGGGGCAAGGACCATGAGTGAGTTGGCTCTGGCGATGTTGGTGTCTGAAACGGTTTTGTTGGCCAAAGTAGAATTAAAGGCCTCGTTGGCATTGCCCGTTGCCATGGTCATGGTCTTCCTGGAGCCTGGACTTGTGGGCGGCGACGGGGCCGTGCTGGAACTGGACCTGGAGATGTTGCCTGTCTCCAAACCCAGAGACCTTCCGGAGCTGGGACTGGGGGTTGTGCTGGAGAAGGGCCACAGGGCGGGGTTGGAGCTTGGCCTGGAGACGTTTTCCTGGTCCAGTTTCCTTTGGGAGTTCGGACTGGAGGTTAAGTCGGAGGTAATTGGTTGAGTGCCGGTAGAGCCAATCAGGGAGCCAGTGTCATAATTCAGACTCACGGCCTTTCCAGAAGTCAGGCTCAGGCTCGGGCTCGCTTCAGGTCGGCTCCTGGTTCTGGAGGTGCTATTGGAGTTCAGGTCCAAGGCCCTGTGGGTGCTGGGACTTTTATTCTCAAGGAGGGTGGAAGAAAGAGTTGGTACAAGGGGCATGTTGGAGCCGGGACTGGGCCTGTCAGCCTCTTGGCCTGGGAGAAGGCTCAGGCTGGGGCCTGGGGCAATCGTGATATTGGAACTGGGGCCGGAAGTCTGGTTGCTTGACGGGAGAACCGTGCTGAGGGCAGGGGCGGTGGTGATACTGGAGCCAGATCTGGAAGTGGCTTTTGACTCCATGCTGATGGCCTTGCTGGAGGTGGGGATCTGGTCATCGGTGGAGGTCAGAGCAATGGCCAGGTCCGCGTTATGCCGAGATCTGCTCTCTGAGCCCGGATTCTCCAAGTCACTCCCCACAGAAGTTGGAGTCAGGACTACACCAGAGTCCAGCCTGGGTGTGTTGTCCACATTGGGAGCCAGGGTCTTACTGGCACTGGGACCCATATCCCTGGGACCCAGGGATATGCCCAAGGCTGGGGAGAGGCCCGTGTCTGGACCAGGGGTCATATCGGGGCTCTTACTGAAGTCTGGGCTCCTGTCTGGATTCAGGTCCATGCCTGATCCCTGGGGTTCTACAAGCTACTGCCCCCTTCTTCCTTGCAAAAGCCAACTGTCCAGCACTCTGCAGCTCCCCTGGAAGAAGGGAAAGGTTATAGACATCCTTCCCTTCTACACCAAAGAGGAAGAGGGGGTGAAGGAAGGGCACCTTGGGACAGAGAGGTGGTGGTCCACAGGTACAGTAAGAGGCATACCTCCCCAGCTAATCTAGACAGGTATTTCTTTTGTTTAACTGAACTTCTTTGTTACAAAGGAGGGTTCTCCTGAGCTGATGGGGGGCACTGAAGAGTTGTTGGGAAGTTATAGGTATGGAGGAAAAAGAACATCAATATAACCTTCATTTTTAAAAAAAAAATGATTGGGCAGATGCCTCACAAGCAGTGACCGTATTTCCAACCAGCTCATAGATGAGGCTGGAAAAGCAAAAGGGAGGGTGGGGTGGATAGAAATGAGTTTGAACCAAGCCTGGGAGGAGCAGAAGTTCCCCTTAAGCCCATGTGCTCCCCCAAATTCATGTGGTTCTAGACACTGAGCAGTTTGGAGTCTTCAGAGGATACAGAAGTGCAGGAAAGGGTTGTAGGTTCCAAGCCAGAGAAGTGCTAATGTGCTCCAGAAAGCACTCTGTGAATGGCCACATCATTAGTCTCCTCTTAAGTTTTTCCCATTCACAGAACAGCACGTCACCTTCAACAGTGTGTCCACATGCTATGAGGAAACCTGAGGCCGGCCCAAGAGCGCTCCAGCTAGATCAGCTGGATCCCCCCTCCTCCCTACCAGCATGCAGGTGCTCCCTCCCCAGAGGTACTGCCAAGGCCATCTCACCTGCACACATGGTGTCCTCAAACTGGAGCAGCCCCTGAGGACAAGCAAAAAAAGAGCGTCAGGAAGAGGGTTTCCTGGACTCATCGTGATAAATGGACAAGGAGTACTTCATTACAATATGGCAGCCCACTCTCAGACCCCCTCTTCCTCATTGACCAAAGGCACAATTTGATGCTGTTAACTTCAACCCTGTGACCACCTGATTACAATCCCTTCCCCTCCATCTTTTTTTTTTTTTTTTTGCAATTGGGGTTAAGTGACTTGCCCAGGGTCACACAGCTAGTAAGTGTCAAGTGTTTGGTCTGAGGCTGGATTTGAACTCAGGTCCTCCTGACTTCAGGGCTGGTGCTCTATCCACTGTGCCACCTAGCTGCCCAATTTTTCTTGACAATAATCCATCTATTCCAACAGGTTGTCCTCCCATTCATTCCAACCCCCTTCTCCCTAATTTTCCAGACTGCCTGTAAACAGGTTCAAGCATTCCCCAGTCTTAAACAATTTTGCCTAGACCTGACCATTTCCTGAAGCTATCCTCTTCCTTCTTTCCTTTCTCTTTCTCTCTTTCCCTTCCTTTGTTCCTCTCTCTCCCTCTCTCTCTCTCCCTTCCTCTCTCTGTCTCTCTGTTTCTCTTTTTCTGTCTCTCTCTGTCTCCGTCTCTCTCTCCCTTTCTCTTTCTGTCTCTCCCTCTCTCCTTTTTATCTCTCCCTTCCTCTCTCTGTCTCTCTCTTTTTCTTCCTCTCTCTATTTCTGTCTCTCTCTGTCTCTCTCTCTCTCTCTCTCTCTCTCTCTCTCTCTCTCTCTCTCTCTCTCTCTTTCTCTCTCTCTCCCCCCCCACCTCTCCCCTTTCTCAGCCAAACTCAGTCAAACAAAACTTTCTGCCCTTGTTGCCTTCCCTTCCTGACATCAAGCTTCAGTTGGATTCTTTGTTAACTCACGAAGTTGAATTTTTTGTATCTGACCATCAAATCCCTATTGAATTTCATCTTCAATTCAACCTAATGCTAAAGTCTGAATTCTTTCAGATCCTGACTCTATCATTTGGTATGTTTGTGATACTTCCAGCTCTGGATCATTTGAGAATTTAATGAGCATGTAATCTATGCCTTTGTTCAAGTCATTGAGAAAACGTTAAAACAGCACAGAAACAAGCACAGATCCCTGTGTCCCCCCTCCCCTGGAGACTTTGGGTCACAACGACATTGAACGATGAAAGCAACTCTTTAAATCCAGCCATCCAACCAACTCTGAATCTTTCTAATACGGTTCTTGTTTATCCGCATCTCTCCATGTTTTCCCAAAGAATAATATGAGATTCTTTATCCAAAGCTTTCTAAAATTTAGGTAAATTATAGGTAAACAGTACTCTCTTCGTTTGGGATTTTAGTAATTCTGCCCAATAAAGAAAATGAGCATGACCTGTTTTCTTGATGAAGCCTGGCTTCCTCTTAGGAATCACCCCTTCTCTGTCTGGATTCTCTCCACCCATCTCTTGAATGACATGTTCATGAATTTCCCCAGAAATCAGAGTCCTGTAGCTTGCAGACCCTGGTCACTTCCCTTTTTTGAGAATCTGGACCACATTTGTCCTCCATTTTGCGGCCCCTCTCCTGTCTCCTAGGATCTTTCTGATTTCACAGACAGTGGCTCAGACACCCCATCACTTAGGTCTTTTAGGACCCTTCAGAGGATGTAGTTGATCTGGGCTGAGTGTTATGAGTTCATCGAGGGCAGTTAGGTGTTCCCATGGATAGAATGCTACCTCTAGCTGTGTGACCTTGGGCAAGTCACTTAACCCTCTCTAAGCCTCAGTTCCTCTTCTGCAAAATGGAGGTAATACTGGCACCTACCTCCTGGGACTGTTGTGAGATAATAAATAAGAGATGAGATAATAAATGAGATAATGAAAGTAAAAGCTTTGAAAACTTAAGGTGCTTATAGTAATGAAAGCAATGATTATTGAGCATCTCTCATCATTCCTGGGCTAGCTTCCCCTGAAGCATTTTAATCCATGAGATCCTGCCTTATCTTTCCTCTTCATGCTTTGAAATCCACTTGCCAAAAATCTAGAGTATGTGTCACTCTGCCCAGATTTCCTCTTCTCTTTCACAGCCTTTAGGATGGAATGGTCACTTTCCCCACCCCACCCAAGGGACCCGTCATTCCTCCCCCACCTCGCACCCAGCTACTAGTGAGAACCAAAGCCAGAATAGAATTCACCTGAAGGTACATTTTTGGATGAACAGAATTTTTACCAAAGCAATCCAAGCACCTCAGGATCACAGCTGCTCTGTTTTGGGCAAAGAGACAGGGCCCCAGGAGCTGCCTAGGTAAAGGCATCCCCATGCCTTTGTAATGGCTGTGCCCCACGCACCCCCCTCCAGCTCTTCACCCATCAGACTCTCTGGTTTCCTTTGAAGCTTTTCCCATGTCATTTTTTTAAACATAAGGCTTTTCCCAATCATCCCAGATGTGAGTAATTCTTTCTCAAAATGATGAGTATCTATTTTTTATTTAGTTTATACATGCTTACATGTACCCATGTTGTCTTCATTGATGGAAGTGCCTTGAGGTCAGCAATGTTTCATTTTATAAATGCTTGTTGATGGGTTGACAAGCGCTTATTAAAAATGCTTTTCATTGATTGATTGGCTCAATGACCAGCAGAGGGTAGAAAAGGAGAGGAGGACCGATGGGAAAGAAGAGGACAGAGGGGAGAGGGGGAGACAACAAAAGAAGAGCCGGGGAAATAAGAGGAACATAGACACTGAGTGGTGGGACAGATCCCACTCTTCTTCTAGAAGTCATGAGGCTTGGGATAAATCGCTTCCCTTGCCCTGGGCCTATTCGCCCATCTGTAAAATGGGGTGAACAACCCTTCCTTTCCCAGCATGACTATGAGGATCAAAGTAGATAAGGGATAAGAAAGCACTCCTCTCTCCTGGATCAATGTCCTGTCACGGCAGAGGGGCTCCCAAGGCTCAATGGCACTCTGCCTGCCTTGGCCCAGGACAGATCAGACAAGTTGGACTGTGCCAGGCTATGGGGGAATCATTGACAGAGTCCTGGGCCTTGCCTAAGCAGAGCTGTCTGGCATTAACCCTTTGAGGCCAGGGACATGGGCCTGGGGTGGAGGGCAGCTCATGGAGCTTTAAGATGATCGTGCAAAACCAATGCCACCAAAATCACAAGGAAAGCAGAAAACTGGGGGTGGGGTGGGAGTTTGCAACAAGTATCTCCGATAAAGGCCTCGTTTCTCAAAT